TTTAATCTAACCCTGCCGTGGTAGCACCGGCTCCCTGTTTACACATTTTCCTTCCCAACTGTTTTGCCTTAGACGTTTTTTGCACCGTTTTTGCTGCCCATAGCGTTTAAATTTCTTACTTTTTTGATTGTCCCTCGGCCAGTTCTTGTGACGTTGATGTTTTTGTATCGATTTTTCTGCATGAATTCAATTCTGTAATTTCTCATTCGTTATTCAGTTTATGCAGCGAGTGGATGCAGCTGATGAGCGCTCGCGAAATTTATGGTTCCATTAAATTCAGCTATACGCGCAATCTTCAACTTTTTATCCGGGAAAAGATGCTTCAAATTTCGAAGTTCTAAAAATTACTTTGGTCTATGGCCTTGTAATCAACTCGACTTATGTGGTACCGAGACAGTTTTAGCAAACAAAACATGCCTGACGGACTCGCGTCGGAATCCTGTTACTGGGTCTCCGGTTTTGTGTCATTGAATTCGTTGGTTTCTAATCAGGCCAGTGATATCGTTTGGTAGAAACGACAATCTGGTAAATGGAATCCGAAAAGGCGCGCCCGATCCAGTAGCGACTTTGCTGTGGACAGGGAAACGTGCCCGAATCCAGGTTTGCTGATCGAAAAACTGCCTTCTTTCTCTGTTGCACTCGGTGTTGCAGGGGTAGTCAGCTCGACTTTATAAGGATTTCGATCGTTTGGGTTATTGTTGTCGACGGTAGCAGGGAGAATTGAAGGTTGCTGTGCATTTCTGTTGCTGTGGCCTTGGAGATATTCGATCAGAGACAAGTGAGATTGGAACATGCGTCTCAGTGGGGGCCGATGAGCTGGTTATCCCCCATAACGATAACGGCTCAAGGCTTGCCATTAAAAGATACTAACGATGCAATTTTATTTTAATTTCATCCTTTTACGGCTATCTTGTGAGCTACACGTCTGGTCCTGTAGACGATTGCATAATCTAGTCCTCCTTGATCGAAATCGGTTTTAAGACACACTCCTTGCAGTCTGATTGGAATTCTCGCTCCCTCTACTTCGTCACTGTCGTTAAGATGATTGATCTTCAAGTTGGCGTTCTGCATGGTTGTCACCGCTACCCCATAATCGATTTCGTACCAGGCTTTCGTTTTCGCGATCATGATGATGACTTTCCCCTCTGCTATATTTGTCTTTTTCATTCGAAAATTTCGAACGACCAGCGGAGGCCTAGGCCCATCCAGCTTTCTTGTAAGACCGCTTTTGTCTGTGGTGAATAGTAACAAATAAAAACAAACTACTTCCGACTTTTCATTAGGTCGAATTTCCGACTATTCAAACCCTTCGATTATATTAACCATTAGAAATTGCTGTGATAGTTTATCAATCTATAGGCTACCTTTTCAGTCTTTTGTGCTTTCCGCAACATTTTAACCCGCATTTTAGTTAAGTAAAACAATAAGT